AAAATCGGTTTTTAATGAAAGAAGTAGGCCAACTGACTTATATATAAGAAAATTTACATGCAAATGGAGGGAGGAAAAAAATGGCGGCTCAATTTGAGAAGCCCTTCGTCAAATTCATGTTTGTCTCAGTACACTTTATTCAAAGTGTCGCCTCGCTGGATCAGTGTCCCATGGACCTCCTTAGCGATCACAGGTTCGAGAGATTAAATTTAGAATCCGAAAACCAGACTGTTTTTGGAATAAGAATGTTCTAATTCACTCCTGAGCCCGCCAACAGAGGCTGCAGTACGTAAAGGTGAATGCGATCAGGCTTACTAACGATAGCAGCGTCGTTATTCGCCGCAAAGTGTTCTTGGTGTAATAATGACTTGGTTGTGACCCACATGAGCCCTTCGTGGTCAGGATGTAATATTCTCTGTTGATGCCATAATTTATCGGCAGTGTTGCTCACCATTGCCATCACTGGAAGAAAAATCCACCTGCACGAAGTCTTAGCGTTAAATAGAGAGAGACAGAGGCGGATCACCGCGTTTGTTGATAGAGTGCGGATCGGGAAACCATTATTCCAGCAACCCTTCACTCGTGGGATTGTAACTTCTTGCGGGGATTTTAAATCATCGAACTTGATGTGGTCGCGTCCTGTCGAGGGCTCCGCGGCTTGGAAGTTGACGTCATTTGCCGACACTGCTACTGTTTGGTTGGTCGTGCGAAGCTAACGGAAGATTCCAAAGAACTCGCTAGTGCTAGTGAGTCAACAAGCTGGTCAGGTTGGTCGATCAAACAATAATCTTATTAAGTCTGAACTTTCGCTACGAATATAGAAACTGCTAACTTTGTTAGGTGCGTATGGTTGGCTTCTACAACTATTGCATTCCAGATGCGTCCCGTCGCTGACCCTATCCCCCCCCCCGATGGTGGGTTCGAGCGTGAATCCAAAAGTCTGGCAGATACACTCATTGTTCCGGCGATTGCCTCTCCTCAACCGTTCCGTGGAATCCGCTTCTTTCCCTTTATATCGGTAGACCTTGTACTTGTACTTTTTACGGCTGCGATCATGACTGATCTAGCCGGCCTCAATTATGTCCTGTATGGTACTTCTCCACGTGCGACCGTCCGTGACCACATACCTGGACAGTTCGACCTATTCTCTTCGCCAGCGCCGGAGACCGAATACCGAAGGTCCAAGAACCACTTCCACGTCTTGATAGACTGATTCGAGCCAGGTTTTGAGTTGACCCCCTCTCCGACGTTTCCAATTTGGCAACGGTTTCAAGTTGAGGGCAGTAGACCTGTACTTTTGAGGTCGGCGAGCTGGTGGGAGATCTGGTGAGAGAGAACTTCGTGTTACCAAAGCACTACTAAAGCATACAGACTATAGAAAAGTACCTTGTAACAGCAGTTGTGGCTAATCTACTTTGCATCATCCACATCTATCTGTGCGTGGGACGAGCGTAAATAAGTCCCGAAAAAAATCTCTTTATAGTTCATTTTACGTGAATAAACTGCTTGCCCCTTCATCAGACTAACACCGTGCTGTTCCTATGAATTAACTGCCTCTTTCTCCTTTTTCCCCTATTAAAGACCAATGAGTCCGTCAATTCCAAGGCCTGGAAAATGATGGTACGTCCCAGTCCCTTAAAACTTCCCCCTATTTTTGTCCTCAGTTCTTCACTTGCTTTCCCATCTCTCTCTCTCGCCGTGTGTTCGATAGAGAGTCATGGGCTACGAACACGGAAAAGGTCTTGGCGCTGACTCTCAAGGTCGCACTGAGGCTGTACCCGTTGAGATGAAGAAGGACAGGCGTGGTTTGGGCATGAGCAAATCGAATGCGGCTCGAGACTCAACGATGCCAAAATTTGACTTTCATAATGGCCCCCACGCCTGGAACGCAGAAATGGAAGTGCCTACAGTCGACGATGACCACATGTATGTGTGGTCGCGTTGGGACGATCCGTCTTATAACGGCGTGGCGGACACTATGCAAGCAACCACCCCTAAAGGGCAGGTACCGACAGCAAATGCCGAGCAGGCTGCTTCAGCGCTGGAGTCATTTCAGCACCTCCTTCTGAGTCCGAATTCGTCTGAGGCCCTTGGTGAGCCCGTTACCGAGATGCGAGACCAAACGCTTTACTGTTCCAAGCATCTCGTGCATGAACTTTTTGACTACAAGGTGAGTATGCTCCCGCGAAACTCCTTCTTTTAAAGCCCTCTTTTTGAAATCATTTATTATGACTGCTTCTTTGTCAAATGCATAGTGTCGTCTTATTCCGTGACAGATTTACGAATCCAGTTAATTTCAGGATGAGCTGGACTCCATTTCGCGTGATCAGTTGCTCGCCGCTCGCATGCGTTCAAACCCCTTCGAGGACATACGGAAGGGAATATTCATGAACAGGTTATCCAACATTTCTGCTTTTTTGTTTCCTGCCGCACGACGCATATCTTCGGGCCTGTTTTTTCTCATATCGTTTTTAATGTTCCCTGCTTTACGCTACAAGAAAACAGTCCAATGCAACGAAAGGGGCTAGAATTAACAAGCTGCAAATTTGTTAATCTAAAGTTAGCAGGGGACGTTGTGCAACATCGAAATCGTTCTTTTTTTCGATGACTGGCATTCAACGCACCCTGCGAGAGATGCACTGATTCAACACAAGAGCCAGATCGCGGCACAACAAACGTTACTAGGGGTGCGCACTAATAGCAAATGTTACATATGGAGGGTTTACTGACACGCCTAGGCGGTCTGACGCCGCATGAACTTTTTGCGCCCAGTCCTCGCATCAGATAACTAACCGGTTCAAACAGTAGACCGGGGCATTTCAGAGAGAAGAGAGGGTGAGGTCGAATGGTGACTCCGTCCCCGGGGCACTCAGCAGGCATCGCAGTCGATTAAGTTAATAGGGAAGATCCTTGTCGCTGTGATCTTCAGGCCCGGTTTCGTGTGGAAAAAGAAGTGATACGCCAGAGGGGGGGAGGAATAGTATATTCTATTACAGAGGTAGTGGAGAATAGGTTGGAGGGAGTTGACAGTCGGACAAGCGCGCG